GGTCTACCAAGGACCCGGCCCACCGAGACCGGGGAGTCTGGATCCTCCGGACAACCCGTCCTGCCGTTTTGGACACAGCCCCAGCCTCCTGCTACAAGGATGTAGCAACCACTGGTTGTCCAATAGTCTTAATTTTGACCCTCACACCGCACCGTAGCTCACAGCCACTGAAGGGAAAGTCTCCAACAATCTGATGATTTCTTAAAAAGGTAAAAACCGGATCTGCTTCTTCTGAGGATCCAGTCAGTGCCGTGACCTTTCAGACCAGCAGGTCATTGAACGCAGCATCGTGTTCAAAACGTCTCACCTTCTTGTCTTTAATGGTGTCGAAACAGGCGGTCTGGATCCTGTGGGCGAAGTCGTGCAACCCCATGTGACGCAGCATCATGACGGCGCTGAGCAGCAGGGCGGTGGGGTTGGCCAGGTCCATGCCGGCGATGTCGGGGGCGGTGCCGTGTACCTGAAACACACACACACACACACACACCTGCTGTAGAGTTTCTCTTTACTTAAATATGGATCAGGTTTATATTTAGAGACTAAGGAACATGTTCCAACAATATAAATCTGAGCGGTTTAAGACGAGTCTGAAAACCAGCTTTTATAAACGAAGGAGGCTGTTTTACATGTGACTCATGACTGCAGGAAAAAATAAAATAAAATMAACAAGAGAAACAAACCGATTCAAAAATGGCGACTCCGTTTGCTCCGATGTTGCCGCTGGGAGTGACGCCGAGTCCTCCGATCAAACCAGCACACAGGTCACTGGAACAGTCACATGACATCAACAATCACAGCCTCTGATTGGCTGATGAGGCTTTTGATTTAGGACGCACTGACCTGAGGATGTCTCCATACAAGTTGGGCATGACCAGGACGTCGAACTGGGTCGGGTCCTGAACCATCTGGAAAACAGGAGATTTCAGAGGTCTTAGTTGGTCTGGACTGTTTGTTCCAGCAGAGAACAGAAACRCACGGCGGACACTCAGACACCTGTTCACCTGCAGCTTCGGCCCGCCAGGTGAAGGTTTCTGATCTGAGGTGGAACTGAGGTTCTGACGGACACTCACATTGAGGCACACGGTGTCCAGGTACATCTCTGTGAATTTGATGTCTTTGTAGCTCTCGGCCACCTCTCGACATTTCCTCAGGAACAAACCGTCCGACATTCTCCTGCAGAGAGACCGTTTAGAGCAAACACTSCCAACAACAGCAGACAGACCAAAAACACAAGCTCGTCTAATTAAAACTAAAACAATCATTAGAAAACAAAGAGATGGAATAAAGAACTTCATAAATGTAAATATGTTATATAATCCTCTTTGATTATGCCTTATTTGTCATATTGCTCAGAAATAT